TCAAAACAATTCCAAACATCACTTTTATTGGCATTATATTGAATCACTTCCAATGAAAAGGTCAATGCAAGCAAATTAATTTTACACTGAACCTGTCAATTGCAATGTCACAACTACATATAAACACGTTATAAGCAGTACAGATGAAACACTATCAGTCTTTGTTTTTAAGTTCATTTCATTATTCTTTATCAATGGCTCAGTCAATTGAAAAGAAAGTATCCATAGCAATGGTTTAGCGGGTATTTTCAAATGTCATCCCTAGCAGACATCAAACAGACTGACTTCCGAATCAAAGTACTTCCTCACAAACAGTCAATTAGTGTCCACTTGCATTTCCGTCACATTCGATGACCTTGGGAATTACCTTGTAGAGGTGGTTAATGTATCTATTGCACATTTCAACTGTTAGAGAGTTCCAGAACTCAAGGATTCCGTTTATGAGATCCTCTTGACTTCTTGGTTTCACTCTTCTCCGAATATGGAATTTCAGTGCTGCCCACATATTTTCAATTGGATTCATGCCTGGAGACTCCGGCGGGGTAACCCAGTGGTTCACACCGTTGTCCTCCATCCATTGTCTAGTGGACCTGCTGACATGCTTCGGATCATTATCCTGCATCAATCTGTGACCATCGGGGTAGACATCTCGTACAAAAGGGAGGAGTGTTGACTCAAGGATGTTTTGGTAATAATTGCTGTCCATGATGCCAGTAAAGATGTGTATGCCTGTTGGTCCTCTCCTTGAAATCCCTGCCCATACATGCACCTACAATATGATTATATTGCAAACATTTAATGTACTGTGATATATATGTTTTGAACATAATATAGTATTTTTTCATGCTTCATATTCAAACTGTTTCTTTTTTGGTTTCATTCCAAACTGCAATTGTATTTATTTAGTTAGATCAGAGACCTGTATACTAGAATTAAGTTAGAAACATATATGTATACAATAATTAGGTTATGTTAGATCAAGCAGATATAAAAAGGGGTTGGATAATTAGAATCTTATAAAATCTAATAAATGACTGATGAAGTTTACACATGTAATGATTGTTGACAACAAATTATAAGTAAATTAAAATTGCAAAGATTCGGGTCTAAATGAAAACACTATAGTAACGTCTGTTATATTGTGAAAAGATCCTTTGTCATTCGTCCAATATTAATTCATTGTGAAATTCTTTTTTTTTAATTTAAGATGATATGAGTATAAAATTTTCAGTCGCTAGATTCCCCAATAGAAAAAAATTCTTTGATAAATCGGTACCCCCTTCTCCCCGAAAACGAAAATGTATACCACGAGGGAAAAATTACACAAATGAAAATACGTGTACCGTACACTTTTTCAACTTCACAAACCATATATTCATATTCAAGGCACTGAATACAGATTACACTAGGCCTATGTATTAGAAAATATGAAAACAAAGAATACCATCGAGCATGTTGTGTAAAAATTCCGGAAACCGGAAATACTGTTGTAACGCTAAACACTAAAAACTTTTTCGATGTACTGTACAATAACAACAGTAAAAATAATTACAATAATTGTATAATTACAAGTTAATCATAATTTTATTTATAAGATTTTCTTAAAATTTAAGCCCCTTGGAAATGTTAATAATAATTAAAATAAAACAAAACTGTACATGGTATGGATGTTTTGGCTTTGGCCGTGGAACTATTTCCTCCCCGTCCTTCCAAAAAGTGAAATTTGTCGAGCACTGGATTTTCACTGTTGTCTCGTCCGTGAAAATTACATCATTGAAATGTTCATTTGTTGAAGCACAGTTGATAGCAAATTCTAGTCTCTTCGGTCTGTTCAGGATGCAAACTTGTTGGCAGTATTTTACGCTTCGCCGTTTCCAGCCCAATTTCTGCCGTGCTCTTCTAATTGCACTGTCACTTACACTTACTCCGAATCTATCCCTCAACAATCTTGACAGTTCAGATGCCGAGCGTTCTCGGTCTGATGAAACGGCATTATCTAAGTAGTCCAAATGTTCATCAGACAATTTGATGCGTGGATCTCTCCCATTTCGTTGCACTCGGTCAACTATGCTGCCAGTCTCTCTATACCGCTTCAAAAATTCTGAAATTCCTTGTCTGGACACAAGAACATTATCTTCTCTGTTTATGGAATCTCGTATTTGGGTATTGTTCAGTCCATTATCCTTTAGCAAAACAATCCGCCGCCAAATGTAGGGAGATATTCGCGTAATCTTATTTCCATCCATTATTTTCTAACGTTCTCTATTGAAAGCGGTGAAAAAACTACAGTAGCGATGCGTGTATATTCTGAATACACAGGGGGCGGGGCTTTCTTGTCAATCATAACATCACGTGATTCATTCACGCATGGCTGAACAAAGCAGTCCCAGAAAGCAGTCCCAGCAGAGGCTGGGACTGCTGGGACCGCTGGGACTGCTTTCTAGAGCAGTCCCAGAGCAGTCCCCGGGACTGCTTTCTGGGACTGCTTTGGTGTCAGGTTGGGTCTGGTTGGTACTGTAAATACCCAGTAACTGAGGAGGAGATTTTCAAAGAATTAATGCATTTTCACTTAATAATCATTAGAGCCATGCCCTATTGCCAGAACCCCTGTCCCAGGGGCCATGAATTTTACAATTCTGGTAAAGGGCTCAATGCTTATTACAATCATGCAAAATAAAATAAGCTGACCAACCAACTAAGGACATCTAAGGGTGAAGGGGAACAAAAATTGTAAAATTCATGCTCCCCCCCCCTCCAGGCCTGAGGAGTGGGGTTAAAACCACCAAAATTAGTACTATCTTTAAAAATCTTCTACTTTACTCCTGGACATCAAGCAGTCAAACTGTTGGCATGATTGTAATAAGCATTTAGCCCTCTACCAAATTGTGAAATTCATGGCCCCAGGGTCAGGGTTTCTGATGTTAGGGTTGGGCTCTAAACATAATATATTGAAAATGCATGAATTCTTTGAAAATCTTCTCCTCTGTTCCTGGGTTTTAAGCCAATGAACTAAGTACATAGTTATAATGAGGAAGAGTACCTCTTCCAAAATTTTGAATTTTATGGCCCCTGGGTCAGGGGTTCCATGCAGGGCTATTTATTATATACTAAAAATAAATTAATGCTTTGAAAATCTTCTCCTCTGCCCTTTTGTATTAAGCAAACTAAATACATGGTTATGATGAGAAAGGGTGCCTCTTCCAAAACTGTGAATTTCATGGCCCTTGGGTCAGAGGTTCTTGTGTTTTGGTGGGGCTCTATTGATTAATTAGCAAAAATGCATTTAATGCTTTTAAAAATTCTCCTCTGCCCCTGCATACTAAGCAAACAAACTAAAGCAATAATATCAATGTAAATGTATTAAATATGTGCCTTTTCTTTGCTCCTTGGTTTTTAGGAGGCAAACAGATTAAACATTTGTAATAAGTGAAGCAAATGAGAGTTACTCCCCTTTGCTAGATCTTGTTCATCCAAAAATCCTTGTAATTAATTTTATTAACAGGTTATTTGATGGAATGAGAATGCAAGAAAGAATTAAAGACTTACAAATATATATATATATATATATATATATATATATATATATATATATATATATTAGGGATGGCAATTTGTAACCGGTTAACCAATTACTCGGTCGGAACGATGGCAATCGGTTAGAAAATCTGTAATCGGTTAGTCGGAGAAAATAAAATATATAAAAATTTGAACCTAATTTTCGTAAAAATTCTTCTTCTTTTTTTGAAAAAATCTTTGCATAAACGTTGATAATTCAGCGTTTTCACATATCCAACCTGACTTGGATGTAAGTATGGTTCTCCGGATTGAGATTGTAGGGTAATTGGTCATTTTGTGTTTGAAGTGTTAATTACACCATGTTGTTATCCTGACCATCCTTGTATTTCTTTAATGATAATTAAATGATAATTGAGAACTGCGAATTTGTATGCTTGTTTTTTGTAGTTATCTATCGAATAAATTACTACACAAACTTTGTAAATTAATTAAGTTATGTATTTCAGACTTAGTATGGTGTCAATGCTGAACGTATGTGAAATCTGCTTTTGGAAAATATCAATGATTTCTCAGTCATGATTCGTGGTTTTCTTAATTTTTTTCCAGTCTACATTGAAACTAAAATAAAATATAGAAGCATGTGGGATTTTTTTAAATCAAGAATCAAGACAAATAAAATGATTTTACATCAAGACTCTATCAGTCTTCTTGTATATATGAATAGAGCTACTTAGGAAAAAAGTATGTACATCAAGAAAATGCATATATTGATACGGTTAACCGGTTAATCGGTCGGAACGTCTTGCGGTTAACCGATTAACAATTCTGTATTCGACTGCCATCCCTAATATATATATATATATATATATATATATACACCAGATTTTTGAAATTCTTGGGCAACTTTGCTTTGCCTATCAGTTAATTTTGTTTTATACATCTAAGGATCTTTTACAGTGTTGTATAATACATGTACTCAAGTGACTGTTAAGACCCTTGGGCTTCTTGTTTTAATTCAAGGGATATTACAACTTGAAACTGGATAACCTCTTCATCAATAATTACCTGACTTCTCTGGTGCAGAAAGTCTCAGGCACCATTGTGAGCTTTCAAGAAAGAAGGGTAAATTTGAATCAACAGCTTAATTAGCCAATTCCTGTAGTGGTACACATTACAGTCAATAACAGTCATTCCCCATTCAGTAAGAAATAATTTAAGCTGTGGTTTTAGCACTAAACCAATTTTTAGTGACATGGTTATTTTTAGTCCCACTATAAATTGTTTACCTTGACTCGCATCAACTAGCATGCTATTCACACCTCTTTAACAGGAGAGTTCCTATCTTGAAACTGGCGAATTGAATTCTAGGCATGATTTTCTTCACAAAGTGAAAAATTAGTATCCATATTATAATGTTCAGCATGTTTAGAACATTATAACATAATTTCTTAAAATATAATACTATTACGTTTAGAAATAATTACCTGGAGAAGGACCAATAACAAGGTCCCATGGAGAAGAAAACTTCTGCTCTGTACAAAGAACTCCTCCCTCTTCCCCATATTTCTTCATGCCCAATCCTGCTATTGTTGTCACCTCTTCTCTCTGTATATCTACCTAAAAGTCATCATAAATGAGAGAAAATTTGCATACTTAGGTACATCTAGGATTAAAATGTTCGAAAAGCAAATTTAGTTACTGAGTCAGTCCAATGGTACCAAGGGTGTCAGTTCTTGAAAAATTTCATAAATATCTTGGCTTTCAAACTAGGTTCAAAACAATATATCTTTCTTTCCAAATTCTCTTCTTGAGAAACCCCCTAGATCAACTAGTTTATTGACATGGCAAAAATTAAAAGTTCACAGGGGTTTAACATTATGAAATTGGCCACCACTTTGGAAAGGGATCCAAGTCATTTCTCATTCACCATTGCTTGCTGTCATTAATATAATAATCAGGGATAGATATTAGTTCTCATTAAGTTTGCTAGTTAGTCTACAGAAATATGTATCTGGTTGATCAATATCATAGAGGGCAAGGCAAACAAACCTAATAAGTGATTTATTTTCTCAAGGATCATAGTGTTAGAGACAATAAAACAGTGTTCCAGCTAGGGGGAAAGGGAGGGGCACCGAGCCCGCCCACAAATCAGTCCGCCCCTCTGCCTCCCAAAGGCACCTGTGTCCTCTGTTAGCATCCTGTACCACTCTGTCTTTTTTCTTCATTAGAATAATTAGCGTGATCCTAAGCAGATTACCTAAGAACAATCAGCAATTCAGACTTCCTGTATGGAACTTGCATTATGGGACCTATATACTGTACAGGTGCCTGCTTCCAATTATAGGTGATGAGGTAATTATAGACCTTAAAATGTGCTATTACACCATTTGCACAGTACGGTTTGTTTCGTTTTTTGTATGGTACAGTTCGTTTTTTGAATGGTACAGTTCGTTTTGTGAATGGTACAGTTCGCTTTGTAAAAGGAACAGTTCGTTTTGTGAATGGTACAGTTTGCTTTGTGAATGGTATGGTACGCTTCCTGCACAGAACAGTTCATTTTGTGAATGGTACTGCTTTGATGAACAGTATTTAAATTAAGTGGGCGGAGCCTGCTTTAGTATATGATTGGCTATTTAATGAAGTTGTTTATTTCTTTATTATAATCTCGCAGGTGTTGACACGATAAAGATCCCTCACTGCTCAATGGCCCTGAGTGCCGAGTAAAGGTCAAAATTTGAAACCCTTCACCGGTATATGGTGACGTCTCTATATGAATGAAAAAATCTCGAATGATACATAAACAACATACAATCAATCAATCTCTATTTTATATAAATAAAAGGACGTGTCGCAAGCTTTTTTTTAACAAGTTGTCTTTAAATTAAAGCTGTCATAAATACTTCCTTTTTACAGCTGTATTTCCGTTATTACATCGTAACTAGTTTTCTTATTTATTGTACCTTTTTTTTAAATTACGGTCTGTATGAACTAGCTTCAATTTTTTAAAAAATATAATTTTATTTGTCTATTTATTATTATATTTTGTATACCATGGCCTTAAAGTTCAGTAACTTGGAAATAAATCGAACACATCATCAAACACTTTATAACAAGGATGAAAAAAAATATATATTGATTGAGTCACTATAAAGGATTTTCTGCTCTTTTTTTTAAAAGAATGAAACAAGAAGTCTGTGAGCGAATGTAAAAAAAACAACTTCTAAAAAATATTATACAAACAATGAAGTAAAATTTTTGAAAAATCTGTAAAATTATCAATCACTGACAAATTTTAACTGGGTCCAACTCTTTCCATTGAGGTTTATTTAAAAGAATGACTACTCTAAAAATTGCAAAATCGTAAAATTCTGGTTACTCCCCTTTGATGATGCAAAATATGATGTAATTTCAAGGCCATTCTTGTGGTATTTCTATCATAACATGAAAACAAAAATCGGCATCATTAAAAAGTTTTCTTTTTCTTTATCTTTAAGACAGAAAAAAGTAAAAACACGGAGAGACTCAGGTTCAATGAAAGTTTATTGCTTGAAGTTGTCCAAAGCAAGGTATGTGTCCCATGCATGGTTAACTCACCCTAATTGAGATTTCATGACTGGACATGTCCCTAGGAATTTGCACAGAACTGAGCAGAACATTTGTAGAAACGAAAATAAATTGCAATGTAACAAGTACCTCATTCAAAACATGACAAACAGAATATAGATGCGTTTTCATATTTTATAGTCCCTGAAACGTTCTACTTTCCCATTTTTCCATTCGCTCACCATTTGTTCACCGTTCATTCACCATTTGCTTTCACCATACACTCTCCATTCACAGTTTTGCGTTCACTGTGCACTCGCACTCACCATTCAAAGCGTTCACCGTTCGCTCACTTTGCGTTCACCTTGCATTGAGCATTCACTCATCGTTCAGTCTTCATTGTTATTCGGAACTCCAAAGTGAAAGGACTTATCTTTTGAAAGGGAAAAAAAGCGTGAAAGTAAGGGTTTACTTGTTTATAGTATCATTATTTTCTGCAAAAAATTATCTCCTTTATTTATTATTTTTTAACTTAACTGTTGAATATTTATTACATGAAATATATGGAGATAACGAACAGTATTCAAGCTCAAAAGTCCATTAAACAATACAAAATAGGAGTAGATCTCCCCTGCGAGATGAAATTCATAATTTCAGAAACTTTGATGAATCGTTCATGAAAATTCATGATGTATTCATGACTGGTTCATAAAGATGGTTCATGAATTTTATTCATGAATATATTCATAAAATGTAGTTCATGAACAAATGATGAATATATATGAATATAGGTAATTTTCAGTTTAAAAACAGAAAAAAACGTTTAGTTCAAGGTAATGAATGTTCATGAATTTTCATGAAGACTTAATTGACACAAGCGATTGCCAGAAAACACTCATAACTCCCATAATACAACTTTTGCATGCAAATGCAGTGTTGAACAAGCCCATGGTATAATCAGGTCCAGTCCAAAGACTATTTCTACCTACGTAGCTATTAATAGTAATTAATGCAAAATTGTTAATTTACGACGTAATCAATTTGTGGCCAAAATTTTGTTGTATTCATCATCAGTGTGACTGCATTTAGAAATTTGGTACTCACCATGTTGCGCCATTCAGCCGTTTGCCCACAAAATGCAAGTAATGCAAAAAGTAGGTAAAAATAGCTACTTTGGGTAGGTTTAAATACCTACAGAGCTATTAGTTAATAGACTTTGTACTGGACCTGATAATTTTTCATTTATCTACTATCTAAAAAATATAAATCATGAAATCTGTATACATTTCGTGTTTTGATTATAATTAAACAAACACTGCATCATGATAGCCAGCAATTTTTTTTTTATTAAATTACCTATGTTCCTTTATTATTTTAATTAACCAGTTACATTGAAAATGTGCTTTAAATAATCTTATTTTTCACGACGCAACGTACTTTGTTCGACCGAATTTTCTCTAATGTCAAAATTAAAGCAAGTTGTGAGAAACTGAAACAATTAAGAAAAAACTTCGTAATCTTCGTTAAAACACGTCATATATTCATTTACAACTAAAAAATTATATGTCTTATCCGTACTGTACCGTACTATTCGTGGGTCGAAACGTTAAACGTTTTATCCCCATACAAAAATATTGATGTAGTTAAAAAGTCATACTTTTTCCATGCATCGTGTCTAAATGATACAACACAGATTGCATGGTTGTGAAGTATCTATGACATGATCCACATTCGTATTTTTTCGTCTATTCTCCCATACGTCTTCATAGTTGTTGTCCTCCCGTTCCCTCGTCCGCCATATTTGTTATGATAATACGAAACGAAGACGCTCATTGATGAATATCCTAGCTCTGCCTTACATTTTTAAGAACCCAAGTTTCCATTGGTCAAGACGAAAGGCGCAAACTTGAAACGCGCAAGACGTTGGAAATGTGAATGATAGAGTAGGAGGATCGATGTTAAAGTATTATAATTAGCGTAGTCTTTCTTTGTCAGCCTCTTAAGGAAATATCAGAATACGAAGAAGGAAGAATATATATATTCAGAGGATAAATCTACTTTGCAGCCATAACTTCAGAGATTAGTGGTGAGTTACAAAAAACGGTAGACAATCACTGATTTAATCATTTAATCAGATATCTGTCGGTAGATGTTACTCTATTTGTTAAATTATTATGCCTTTTTTTAAATGAAGACTTTGCCAAACTTTGCTTTGAGTGGGGATCCAACCAAAGTAACATACATTAATTATAGATAAGCTAGTTTATCAAAAAATTCATAGGCCTATTGACCTACAACATGACAGCCGAGGGAAATAAGCAAACTTCCTCTCAGATTGCTCTATGGAAGAACTGCTACCCCTTCTAGATCTGCTTATGATGCATAAAACTAAAATTAATAAAACTTGCAAGAAAAATATGTTTTTTTCTGTATCTTTAGCTAATGGCAGGGAAGGGGATAAAACCTAATTTTGGTAAATTTATAATAAGAATTCAAACTTTTTAAATTTAGAGTATGATTTTTTTTTGAAAGGTGGGTGGGGGGGTGGGGTTCCTGACCACTTTTACACTTGTAATCTAATGGTGCTTTAATTGATTAGATAAGGCACATACAAAGTGTTTTGACCCAAGACTGGATGCTAATAAGAGTTGTGTAAAATGAAAATTCTAAGTTAAAAGTCATATAATTGTTTTATTGTAAATTTCTAGATGACAAGAAACATCTTGAGAAAATAAAAGAAGGAACTGGAGAACTTAACCATACATTTCAGGATGCATCAGTACGTATGAAAAGTTTCTTTTAAAGTGTAAGCCAAACAGTTCAGCTCTCTTAAGTTAATCTATTAGAATAATTATACTTTCACAAATTAAAATGATTACACAGACACAAATAGTCTATCATTGAAAATGAAAAATTTTTTTTCTAAATAGCATCCTGTTCGAGCAAATATTTTCAAGGCAAACAAATTTGCTCCTTAAAAAAAGCACCAGCTTCATCATCTGATTCAGCAACAGAAAGGCAGTCACCACCTGCCACATCACTAAATACTACAGGTAAATCAAGCAGGTTAATGT